AATTAAGGACCAAGAAGTCCTGGTCTCTGGAGGAATTGGGAGTTCAGAGTTGAGGCTCTACGGGTTTGGGTTTAGGGTTTAGGGTTTAGGGTTTAGGGTTTAGGGTTTAGGGTTTAGGCCCTAAACCTTAACGCCTTGAGCCCTAAACCCTATCACCCCTAAGCCCCGGGAAAACGAGGATCCCCGGAAATGAAAGCCCCTTCCAACGACCGAGCTGCTTGCTTCAAAGGAATCTACCAGTCCCGTAATCCAAATCTTCACCCGGAAAACCTAGGTTAGGGTTTAGGGTTTAGGGTTTAGGGTTTAGGGTTTAGGGTTTAGGGTTTAGGGTTTAGGGTTTAGGGCCTTTACCTGGAAAACCTGGGTTTAGGGTAAAAGATGGCATGGCTTGAACCTTGACAGAATACTCGATAGGATCGCCGCACCCCCCTTCAAAAACAAAGCCCAACATTATGCAAGTTCTTGAACTACATCGCTACGTAGATTATACAAGAATTATAAGAAGGAACCCCCAAACCCTCTTCTAATTGTTAAGGCATCTTCTTTAAACATCACGGGCCACCGCAAGACAACCTAAGCCCGAAAACCCGAAACACACAGCCCTAAGCCCCAACAAAAAGCAAAAAACCCTTAACTTCCCAAACTCTGAAACCCGGAACCCCAGACCCTAAACCGTAAAACTCCTCAACCCCGAAACCCAAACCCCTAAAACCATAAAGCTCTACATCCCAAAATCGAAAGCTCAAGCCTGAAAAGAAGAAGCCAACAAACTTTTAAGGTTAGAAGTATGGGCCCCTAATATGGACCCTTAGGCCTTTCTAGGGACCCTGAAGGGTACATATATATACTAGGTGTATAAGGATCCCAGGATAGTAGGGGCCCCTGGTTTCAACCGTAGAAAACTAAAATCTTCTTGGCCTCCAACCCTTAGGGTCACGGTGTAGGGTTTAGGGTTTAGATGGTTTAGGGTTCAGGGTTTAGGGTTTAGGGTTATCCATGTGCGTATACTCTGGCCCGAAAGTACCTAAATAGGGACTACTGTACGGCCGAAGTATACACTATATGACTACATGGACCCTTGGGGCAATATAATAATGCGTAGGAGTTTATAGCGGCTGTTTAAACTGTTAACATAAAGTTATCTTGTGCCTGCATAAGAGTCTCATAGGGGTTTATAACATTTCTAAGGCCTTCCTAAACAGACTCGTACTTTTTTGCTTTTCGGGGCATCCTATACCTGTCTTAGAGAGCCCGAAGGAGTCTACTAAGTCGTTCAAGCTCCCTCCTTTATGAGGAGGTGGGGGTTGAGGGTTTAGGGTTTAGGGTTTAGGGTTTAGGGTTTGGTTTAGGGTTTAGGGTTTAGGGTTTAGGGTTTAGGGCAACTGCCCGCGGATCCCAAGGGATACTACTAGGCTTCTATACGAAGAACGCAGAGCCCTGACTGATACCTCCCGATTCTGCACAGGCCCTACAAGGCGGATCCGTGTGAATCCGCAGCAAAGGAAGGCAAGAAACTACTGAACACCAGTAAAATCCTAAACGCGAAACTCCCTGATAAGGGAACTTCTTGGCAAACTAACAAACGTATACAAACTTATGACAATCTTACAAAAACGGGTCAACTTGACAAAGTCTTCAAAACAAAACCCTACAAAGACACCTTAGAAGACATGCGAACAACCTTACAGAGCCTGGCACTTGCAAACCGCACAAGACCTATGCAACACCTTCAGAGCAAGGACCCTGAAAGCAATACAAAACCCCTAAACCCTACACCCGAGAACCCTGAAAGCAATACAAAACCCCTAAACCCTAAACCCGAGAACCCTGAA